TTTCTACGTCGCGAGGAAAATGTGATTACGGTACATACACACCTTCTGGATTAGTAGTTCGCGATACCAGGGGACCACTCCTGGATACTCTGGCTAAGTAATTTACGGTTTCGTTTCTATCGTTAACCCTTTCACCGTGGCAGATTCGAACGTATGTTGTTCGACCGTGAGCAGGCCGGCAGATATCTAACAGCCGATCGACACTGCGAACAGCAAACAGTTTTATCGGCGATAACGATTGAAGAAAGTTTCGGGCTACACGGTGACAGTAGTTGTAACAGTATGCTGATGCAAATCATGGGTGTGATAAGCGTCTTTGGTAGGCTGTCGTTGTCGAGAACACAGGAAAAACAGTGTTCGGTGAATTTAGGCGTTGGACTTAAACTGGTTGGGCTTACAGGTTTTGATGAAAATCATCAATGAATGTTCGAAGGCCCCTCGACTCCGAGTGACCAGCTGTCATTCCCAACACTTCCATGGAGAACTCCCCCAGTGATAGGGATGACGTCTCTGAACACTCAGTGCCGAGGAGCCTTCGCGCACTCATCGATGATTTACTGTACAGGGTGAATCTCTCGCTGCTACGATGGAAATTTAAGTCGTTTGAAAGTCGCTAACTACTTAACTATTTAAAGCGCAGAACGAGATCCTCGGATACTGCTTCTTTTGTGAGTGACCAGCTGTCATTCCCAACACTTCCATGGAGAACTCCCCCAGTGATAGGGATGACGTCTGAACACTCAGTGCCGAGGAGCCTTCGCGCACTCATCGATGATTTACTGTATAGGGTGAATCTCTCGCTGCTACGATGGAAATTTAAGTCGTTTGCAGAACGAGATCCTCAGATACTGCTTCTTTTCACTGTGTATTGTTCGAATAAAATTCTGCCTAATTCTATTGCCAACCAGTAGCTGGGCCAGGCACATGAATATTTTTTTTGTTATTTTCACTGACCCATCTCATTGTTACGGACACTAGAACTCGAGAGAAACGTGCAGCGAGATATTCTCGAGGTTAAGGAGAAGAGATTCGCGCAGCCTTCATAGTTATCGACAGTTTTCCCAGTTCCTTATTTCAGAGACACTCTGTGCACACCTTCGGTAACAGGCTTGCCCTTGCACGGGGATCAACGTCGGCCCCAGTCAGCTGGTGCTTTGCGTCATCGCTTTAATCGTTTACACCGATGGAGTTTGTTCTGCGGTAAGAGGATTAACGAGCCAGTGGAGTCTGTCCGCCACGCTGCTGGTTCGATCGGCCGAACGCGGGCGTAACGACTTAATCGGACCCCGGCTGGCCGCTAGCGGATCTTCGTCCGACGTTTTGTTTCATTTAGGAGCCAAACATTTTCCGCACGGTGTTGATACCAGGGACTTCTACCGAAACGTAAAATACCGGTATTATATGGGTATTTTCGGTGGAACGTTCGCTCTATATAACCCTGTATAAGCCCTACCCTTATAGAAACCGAAAAAATACCGGTATTTTAAGGTATATTAGGGTGGTTCTTATAATCGAAGTCTCGAAATTATATCGGGGCATCCTGTTACAGTGTTTCGTCGATTATTGTCAAGAACTCGGGTCCGCGCTGCGACACGCTTCAAACAGGGGAAATGATTCAGACCCTCATAAATTTGTTTTTTACCCGAAGTCCGAGCCTCGGCAAAAAAAGCAGTGGGGCAAGAAAGTATGCGCTTGACAGGGTCCACGCCCCCTCTCCCAATGGATGACGCCCTGACAGAAACCGTGTAGAACCAGTCAGACAGTGATCGACGGAGTACTGTATTTAGTTCTTACCCGTCTCAAAGATGAAGAAGCTTCATGTTTACAAACATTGTAATAGAACATAACGTAGTATCTACTCCGAAACACTTGTCGAAAGATCGAAATAATTCAGAGAACTTTTAGCTTCGGTAACTTCCTAACGAATATGTTCAGGGCATAAGTATGTTAGTACGTTTATGTAGAGCACAAGAAACTGCATCGATTGGTGCAGCCAAAAATATAGGTTTCCATTTAAAAAAAAAAGTGCAGTTGCATTTTTCTGATGCACCGATGCACAAAAGTACATAGAATTTTACACAGTCTGATACCATTTAACTTTTACTTATAACATCTTCTATTCCAAACCGTTTCGGAGGTACAGCCTGTTCCAATTGCGTGGGACACCCTGTATATGCACAGCCTCGTCAAGTGGGCCGTGATCGGGCCCCCGTTTCGCGGACGTCGCCGAACCGACACGCGCGGCTGTGGCGGCGGTCTGGTCTGATCGATCGTGTGCGATCAGCGCCCCGACACCGTGTAATTTCCATTTCGCGCGCAAAAATACGTAACGGCGTAATAAGCGAAGCGTAGCGGCGCTATCGTTCGGAATCGTTAACGCGGACGGTAACTTGAACTTTCCGTTCCGCGAGCACTGTTATGTCGATTATGGCCGGCCGATGTCCAATTCCCCCCGGCCAGCCTGTGTACGGTACGTATGTACCTTTTACGGGCCGTGTGTACCGTGTCGTTATGTTGGCCACGCGTCCCACGTCGCTCCGTACACCCGCTTCTATGACCGTACACACAGGCTATCTGGACAGCCGCGTAAACGAGACATGGACACGCGTGTGTCATAAAAGGTTTCGGAATGTTTTCGAGATTCCGCGGGATGCATCCGTGCGTTCAAAGGTTACCTGCTATGTTTACCTATCTCGTAAGTTGCCGTCGAATAGAGCGTCGGATCAAGGGGGGTTAAGGGGGGGTTGCAGCCCTGGGCCCCACGTTCCAAGAAGGTACCGTTCTGAGACTTCCATTTATGTTAAAAAATAATTGAATGAAATTTTGTTTTCTGTTTGCCTTTTGAAACAATTTGAATTAAATGTAGAAATGAATCGGACCAAGGTCATTAAACTATAACGAAGCATTGTTAAAATGAAAGTTGCCAATAGTGTACCTGCTGAGCAAACGTTCTTTATGATTGTTATTTAGAATAAATTTCAATTTTTTAAGATTTATGTATTGTATGTTTTATTACAAATACTTTTAGCCCCCATCTTCGCTCGTGCATGTCTATTCCAAAACAAAAAAAACGAACCAAAGAAACATTACAAAACTCTCTTAATTCTCCCGGTGAAGGTGTTGCAAGAACGTGTCCCAATAAAACCAGCAGAGACCAGGTGCGGCCAAGATAAATAAATCCGCGCCCGGCCGATCGTTTTTCCGTCGATCTGAATTAACCAGTAATAACCGACGCGTTTAGCCGCGTTCAAAACTTGAGCGCAAAACACCATCACCGTTCCGCTAACCTCCCCCCTAACAATTCCAATGCTCGGTTCGTTTCACAACCACCCCCCGTCGTGTTCAGACGGTTCTGCCGCGTCGCATATCATTACCATGCAAATACACCCGGCGTGCGCGGCAAAGCCCGTGTAAAATCGCCCCCCTGCCCCTCCTCAGGTGTTCCGTCTTCCCTCCGCGCTCGCGCGTGTCCCCTGTCCGCCTCCACCCACGCTGCGTCCACTAGCAGCCCCCCCACACCTTCCACATTCGCCCCCCCTTTCCCCTCTACTTTGCGCCCGCGCTACCTCAGTTGCATATGCAAAACGCGCCACTATTATAATAACATTACGCCGATGAACCTTCCATTGAATATGCGCTACGCGAGCGTGGATTGCATCGCTAATTACGTACCGGATGGCGGGATTCGCACGAAGCCTAGTCCCAATGGCACTCGTGGGTTTGAACGTACGGGACCGATTTAGGGGTGGGGAAATGTAAAAAGTTTCGATGGCTAAAGTGAAAGAGTAAACAATTACGTCTATTCTATAGCAAATTTTGTTAGACTCGAAGCATCTTGCCACGGTCCCGTTTCACAATCTTTTGGTAATCTGTTTTGATACCACGGCATTTTGCTCGACACCGCCTGTCGCGATTCGCCGCAATTTGTTTCCAGTGGAAATCGAGTTTGTAGTTGCGCGTCCAACGCACAGACCGGGCGGCTTTTTTTTTTTGTTTTTTTTTTTTTTTTTTTTTTTTTTTTTTTTTTTTATCGTCGGAACGATGTCGTGATTTTGCGCGACACGGTCGCCCCTGACGCTTGGGCGACTAAATATTGTTGACGCCCTGTCTTTTTCCCTCTGATCGGCCCGCTGGGATATTCTCTGTCGTTGCGGATGCTGACATGTTTATGGGACACAGAGCAGCTACGCGGCAGCGGATGGGGTGACGCCCTTGTTTTATAGTTCTGGTGACGGGCGCGTTCGAATTTTGCGGCGCTAAATGGTCACCGCGCTCGTCGGTTTTTATGTTACAACGCTGACCGGATAATATTTGACCCTGGGTTTTTCTCTTCCGAAGGGGACCATTCGTTCGCGATCGCCGTTTAACTTTATTTTCAACTTGACTCTTTTATTTTTAATTAACAAACGAAAATTCGGTAATTCACACTCGAATTAAAATTCCGAAATTCAAATTAAGATATTTAAATTGAGAAATTCAAATCCAAAAATTTAAGTTCAGAAATTCAAATTCAGAAATTTCAATTGAGACGTTCAAATCCAAAAATTTAAGTTCAGATGGTTACATTCAGAAATCTAAATTCGGAAACTCAAATCCAGTTGTTCAAATCTAGACATACAAATTCAAATATTCAGATCCATAAATTCAAATTAAAGGTTCGAATTTAATATTTACACGACGTACCGAAAGTATTGTCATATAATTATTGAGATCGTACGCAGCACTGTTTCGAAAAGGGACATTTACAGTCATGACACTCGAAACATATGAGTTGTTTCCTAAATATCTCAAGAATGCAATGAACACATTTATCACAATTATCATGTAGTAATGAGAAACGTTTCTTACCTCGATGCTTCTGCGGTCGACGTAAATGGCTATGTATGTATACACAGCGAAGAAACTTCTGAAAATGCTTCAGGATGTGGAACACTGGATACCGAAACGAACTGAACAGCGGAACTTAATCTCGAGTATCACTTTTTTTATTTAATCTTCTCTCTCGCCTCGATGTTTTCTCTTATGTTTTCTAAGCCTGACAATATTTACAACATTTCATTTTCATTTAATTCGCCTTTCGTCTCACTTTTAGGGGACGTAGAAAAATATTGACGGTATGCTTAAAGATTGAAATATAATATATATATGTATATATATAATATGTATACGTATATACAAAATGTACAGAGGAAAACGCGATTACGAATGCCAGCGTTCCTTTTTCTTTTCTTTTTTTTTTCTTTTACACTAATTTAACGCGCGGTCTCGCCGCCGAATGACGATTCTATGCGCGACGTAGCGGAACGAACCGATACCAAGTCGATTACAAAATATTTTACCTTGGATGAAAGTCCATCGGTCTTCTCCTGTGTATTATTTTAAAACAATTTCGGACAGGAACCAAGAACACGGTCATCGATTCCTTCGTCGTCGATTATCGGATACGTAGATATATTTTCGTCGAATCAACACCGACCGATCGAACGATCACCCAATATGTGTCTCTCTCTTTCTCCCCGGCTGCGCACACACAGCGCGTTCGGTCACGATTCATTCCGGATCGAACGATTTCAAACGAGGTCTACCGGTTCGCTCGGCTCGTTCTCGCGCCGATCCTTCCACCCATTGCCTTCCTCGCCAAGAGTAACAACAACAACAATAACAAGAACAACGGCAACAAACGGTCTCTTTCTCTCTCATAGTGTTGTATAAGAACTTATGTACATCCAGATAACGACGAGCCCCCTCGAGGCGTATCGGTCCGGCGTTCCCCGTTGCGGTCCCGTTCAGTATATCACCTCATAGACGGTCGCTTTCTTGTCCCCGGAACCGGTCACGATGTACCTGTCGTCCGCGGATATGTCGCAGCTAAGCACCGAGGACGATTCCTTCGACTGAAACCACCAAAAGACACGCGGTTTCTGTGAACGATCGGCCCCGACAACGATTCGCAAATGAACGCGAGGAGTATCGCGAATTTCTTTCAAAATCATTTACAGACAAGGTTTAAAAGTCTGACAAATTTGTAAACAATTTTTCGTTTCGTTTAATGCGACTGACTTTCTCGCTTCGCGGGCTATCGTGCCGTATGGAAACAATGAAGAAAACTTGATGAAAAAAAAACTAGTAAAAACCTTCGAAAACTTTCTGCTAGCAGGTAAAGAGGAAATGATAAAGTAATCCATTGTTTCCATACGGTACGATAGTTCCCGAACTGAAAAAGTCAGTCACTTTAACCGATAGACAAAACTGTTTATAATGTTGAAAATATTAATTTTCCGGCCTATGTTTAGTACACGATTTAGTAAAATTTGCTTGTCATGTATTAGTAGTAAAAAAGAATCAAAAATGAGTAATCAGTAGAAACACTTTGCATTGTTTTATCCACACAATCATCAATGTTTGTAAACACTGTTCCAGACAGAGACAACCGCAGTATTGGAATACACAAGTAAATTGTACTAAATCGTTTACAAGTTGACCAAACTTTAAAGTCGATTATCTCGAAAACGAAGCCCCGGATGAGAAACTGTTATACCAAAATATTTTCTTCTTTTGTAACGTAAAATCACTCCCTGCCCGATTGTACTACCATTTTCCGGCCCACCCTGTATATACATAAGTGTAATCACTCACCTGGAATATCGAGGCACCGTAAGGCGTGCGCCACGCGTTCAACAGATTGTCCTTGCCGGTGGAGACGAACCATTTGCCGCAGGATGCGAATCTCAGCGACAACACGCAGGACTCGTGCAAATGGAGCTGATACTTGTCCGGTTTGGTGGCGTGCAGCACCTCGACGTTCGAGTTCTCCATGCCGACCGCCAGCCATTCGCCGGTGGGACAGTAACCGAGGGAGAATATCTGCGAGGTGAAATCGTGTTGTTGGAGCTGTCTGCCCTCCCTCAGGTCCCAGGAACGCACGGTGTTGTCGAGACCTCCGGTCCACAGTTTCGATCCGTCCGCTGAAATGTCTATGCAAGACGCCCCGTCCGTGTGACCTTGGAATTGTCTGACCAGCGTCTGATTCTGAAGATCCCAGACAGCGATGTTGCCGTCGCTACAGCAGCTGAAGCAGACTTTCGAGTCCGGCGAGATGGCCAGAGCGTAGCAGGCGGGGGCGGAAGAGATTAATTCGGCCTTGATCCTCGGCGTTGGACTGGCCAGATCCCAGATGCTCAGCCGGCTCGCCTCACCGCCGACTATGAGGGTCCTTCCGTCCGGTAGCAACTTCACCGACCTGGAGATTGGACAATTCTATTGGAGGATTTGCTCCTTCCTTGCTTTATATACATTAACCCCCACTCCAACTATCAGTGTGGCTGGCACAGCAAGTAAAGGTAATCGACTCCAACTACCCGCTGTATTGTCAACACAATGTCTTCTTTTATTTTACCGAAAGCTGAATGTATATTTAAGGCCGTTACTTCGATAAGTTTCGATAGACCTTTTTTTTTTCTTGTAGAATTTTTGTGAAATCCATTGTACAGTGTAGAAGTGCGATCGTCAAACGCCTCGAACGCAAAGCGTTAATTCTATGTTCCCAGAAAAAAAAACGTGTTCCACGGAAGCACCAGTACCGCCCCTTTGTATGAAAACAATTCTTTCCAACTGATTTCCAATTTACTTAATTGTATATTCCCAGAAAAAATTCAACCCAGCCGACAAAGTAGTCAACGTTTCGAGCGTGAAATTGATTGAAAATTGTACGATCCTCGTTGACATGGGAATTCGAGCGATCCGCTCGATCACGCCTGGTATAAAAATGATAATTATTTTTGGGCGTCGATGCGTGGCGAGATCGGGCGATGGCCACCGCCACGCCCGGCCCGTGATTAGCAACTGTGACCGACGGATGGATGCATTACCGGGGAAAATGTATTGAATTTACCGGTGGACCGGACACCAGCGATGAACAAAAAAAAAAAAGCCAACCCCTGCAGGGGACGGTGGTTCAATTACCGGCCGTATCGCCGCGGGCATTAACAGTCATACGGGGACGATATTATTCAGGCGCGATTCGACGGTGAAACGTGCAACGCTCGCAAATGCGTCGTAAAAATGCCGAACACCGCGTTTATTCTATCACCGACACTTCCACGTGATTTTTCAGCGGGTACGCGGGCGTCGCAGCCACCCGGAATACCGAATTTTTCGACAAGCGATCGCCGATGTTTCACGCGTCGCCGCACGCTTTCTGCTCGCCGACAGTTTCCCACCCCTACCCCCCACCCCTCTGGCGAACATAAAAGAAGAATTGGCAAAAATGCTGTGAATATTTGTAGAATCCAAATATCGTGTAATCCGTCGTGTATGTATGTGTGAGTACGAAACTCGATCTGTAATTCATTACCTCTATACAATATTTAGACAGGAGGCGCAAGCGTGGAGGGGGTTGGGGGTTGTTTGCGCCGCTTGAAATCATATGACATTTACGATACACCATTCTTGTAACTGTTACACTGGTAACTTTCTATGTATCGGGTGGTACAATGACAATGTTTCTTGATAATTTGACAATATCGAAACTATAGATGATGATGTGTTTATTCGCGTTAACCCTTAACTGGTGAGATGGGGTCCGATGAACCCCAGGAATAGTTTTAGAATATTTCATTTTTATTCGATAGTTACTTAGAGAGATGCTTGTTTATTTCGATGGTTTGTAACAAGTATTAACACTAGACTGCTGAGTTCATGCATTTATAGCCTATATCCGTGAAATACGATAAAAGACAAAACTTTCATCACATCCAACAACTTTTCTATTTTATTCTTAGCCTAATAAGATATTTAAGGGAAAAAAGATATTTTTGCTCTTGTCCTTATGAATTACCTTAGACTATGTCATTTTGCATATAAATCAGCAGTCTAATTAATACTTGAAGTCATTCATAAAAAAACAAATCCTCAATCTATACATATAATATGACGAATAAAGAATGACAGAGTGGATGATGGGAGAAGGTAGACGAACAAGAAGAATCACTGACCTGATGTAGTTGTCAGGCTGCAGACAGTCGAGCTGGGAGACCGACTTGGTGCTTCCTGTACCGCCCTGCCCGATGTCCCAGACCTTGACGCATCCTTTGCCGCCGGTGTACACGTACTTGGTCGGATTCGAGATCGTGACGGCGCACACGACCTCTCCGTGGCTGAGGGTATTAATTTGCCTCGCATGACGCGGTATCCCTTGTGCGACCAGCGCATCCGGTGGGAAGGGCACCGGCTGCATCTGGCCCTCGCTCGACACGTGGAAGCTGTACGCACTGGAACACACGTAGGGAGAAAAAAAAAAAAATGAGACTCGTGCGGCGGCGAACAGGCGTGTTTACTGGCGATAGCCTGTGTGCGCACTCCTCCTCCCTGTACAGGCAGAGATCGCTAATCTGCCCTGCGCGACGAGAGCGTGCGCGCGCGTACGGATAATGTCGGTGTGGCTTATTCCGGGGAGTTAATCGCGGATTTCCTTAACTCCGTACAAGTGGGAACAGTATTTATCTCTGAACGTGCCGAGGGCAGACGTTTTTGACAGAGATGGGCACAAGGTGTATTATACAGGGCGAACCACGAATCGTGATCAGTAGAGATTAAAAGAGAGCTTCAACGTGATTGTAGCAAATTTTTTGTAAACTCTTCTTTTTCATGATTTTTCAAGGTCACCTTCAATTTTTTTTGCAAATACACCTGTCATTGTTCTACGCCTATCTGTTAGAGGATTTCAAGAACGGAGTACACACGGTGTCGCGTTTGAGATATTTTTGGTAAATTTCTGTTGTATTTGTACTAATGCTCAACACTTGAATTCCATTAAATAAAAATGACAAAGGACTAGTAATGTCTTATTTTACCGATGAGCTTTCAAATACACATTAAAATTTGTGCCATACTATCTATACAAGACTAAAAGAAACTATTATATGTATATTCACAGATATGAAAAAATACATGACACTAATATTTTATTTCGTAAATTAGAATATGTAGCCATATGGCACTCGCGAGAATGAAAGAGCGAAGCAATACCCTAATGAAAATCCATCCGAAAATGCTCTTATCGCGACTACACAGTTTTCAAAGCCGTATATTATCGCGTGCATTAATGCACGCCAAAAAACAGAGGAACGAAGAGAAAGAATGAGAAGAAAGAAACGCTTTTACATCTGCTACGTGCAACATTTCATGTCCTACCGGTCTTTATCTCAACCGTTAATCTCGTCGCACAGAAACATTCGCTCTAAAATAAAAAAAAAAAGAAACCATCGATAACAGGTCGTACTTTAACCGTTCACGGATATAATAAACAATAGGATCGGTGAATTTTCATAGCAAACAGAAATCGTAGATAACGAGGCCTACGGCTATCCGGCTGACCGAGCATCAAACAACGTTAACAAAAAGCTTATTATACCGGTTCCTATCGTTCGTCCGATCTTTTGCTGAAATGCAAAGCCGGTACGCCGCTACCTGTGTGCTCTGTTCGTGCGAGAGACACGAAATCATACATCTTTTTACGGTCTAAAATCCGACAATCTCACGAATATACGAAATTCACGTACTTCATGCACCGTCTCGATTCTGAAATCGTTCGTGCTCCGCGCAGAAATGTTCAAACGGGATTTACTCGTTGAATTTCGTCTCTCTTGTGCGTCTATAAACGCTCTAAATATATTCGATATATACCTGGATCCCAATATTAAACGACGAAACGTGCAGACGAATCGTCTTATCTTAAGGCACCGACGCATTTTCGATCTACACGAACGCAAACAGGCTTGTAGTTATGTACTTAGCCTTCGTTCAATTTAGATTTGTTTGGAGAACTGGTTACGAGCCCCGGGACGCACACGTCACTTGCCAAACCTGCGAGATATCGTCCGTGCGCATTGAACGACAAGGTAAACGGAACACCTTCGTGTGTATGCACAGTCGCGAAATGATCTACATTCTCGTCGGAGCATCTGCCGGGAATGGAAATTGATGACGATGATGCCTTGGCTGGGCCGGAACGGCGATGATTTTGTTACTTCTGTTCAACCCGATACGATCTACTTTTAGAGAAGTACGAGCTTCTATCATCGAGTTGGTATTATACGGAGAGTGTCCCACTTAACGTAAGCACCTTCATTATCTCGCTTGTTTTTGAAGATACAATAAAAATGCGAGGGGAATATGTTATTTGGTAAGAAGGAGCAAATACTATGATGATAAGCAAAAACTTTTCTCATGGTCATATTTTTCGAAATTTCAAGATCATCGATGTATGTTTTTTTTTTTTTAAATGAGATTACATATTTTTATCAGCGTGGCGTAATGATTGAGATTAAAACTAACCCATTGACTTATGATAGTGTCACCTTCATGTGACCTTGAGTACGAAAAATCCGCGAATTTATGAGAGTAGATTTGAATAATAACATAACTACGATAGAGGAATGAGTGCAAAAATGCATCGAAGTTAATGGACATCAATTGGAGAATTTATTAAAATTAATTTCTTGCAAATCAATAGCAAGTGAAATACTCAAGGTGTTCACGTTTGGTGGGACACCCTGTATTCTGGATATGGAATCAGCTAGCGAGGATCTACTGTACATATCATTTTCTTATATGACACGTGGATATAGATTCAGTGATATCGCCTTCGTTTTAAGGTAAACACTTGAGAGAGAGACTCGACAACTAGGAAAGAAAATTTTCCAAGGATAACTTAGCAAGCGTCAGATTTCAAATCTTTAGTATCGAATGTCTCTCTAAATTATAAATGTAAAGAACAGTGTGTTAAAAATTACCGAAGCACTTATTGCTCTGCATTTTGGACTCCATTTATACGATAGATGTGTACAATTCACAGCCCAATGACAAGTAAAGTTTCTGGACAGAGAAACGTAGCTCAATCCTGTTATATGGAGGGTACAGAAGCCAATCAGTGTAAGTCATAAAGTAAGTTAACAGAAATAACTGTTTAGAAAACGGATTGTAAAAAAGTAAAACTACTATTATAAAAGTGATTTATATTTATAGAATACATACGTACGAAACTGGTTACGTATAGAATAAACAACGAAAGTGTATTTACACGACATAAGTCATTTCTAATGAAAGACTGATTTACACTGATTGTCTTCTGAACCCACCATATGTTACCCAGTGGGCCCACGAAGGTAACATATAAACTATGAAATTCCGTTTCTCAGAAAGTTCACGAAACAGAGTTTCTCTGTTATTTACGCTGGCAATAAACCACAACCAGGTTTATTCGTTCCTCGAAACGTTCGATCCAGACCAAACACGTTTACCATTTCCTGGACCACCAATGAAAACTACGATCGAATAAGGCGAGGTTAGGTGTAACGGTGATTTTTTAACCAGGTTTGAAATGTTTTTTGCATGTAATAAAAAAAATCTTTTGTACTAATTGTAATAGATACATATATTTTTACATAATAACAAAAAACTTTGTTTTTCTATAAAATTTTCAAGTGGTCAGATTCATATGGCGAGGGACTGTACGAATTTCAAAAATTGATCATCTTGAGAACGAAGCATAATACGAGAAAATTGTATTCTACACTTGCAACTTAGTTTTACAAGTAGAATCAAATCCTTTCGTGTTGTACTATCAATTCAGGAAAACCCTGTATACAGACTACAACTTGACCATTAAATATCTCATAATGGCCACACGCGGCTGAAACAAATATCACTGGCTTCAAAATTCCACGCTCTACCATTGTGCTGAACCTCATTAAAAAGTCAGCGTTACACCTTGGGGACCTCTGCTTGTAAGTTACGAACGATTCAAAGGGAGCGGTTTTAAATAGATGTGTACTCACGGTTTGCCTCCGGGTACCCCAACCGATCCCATGGGATTCCTCATGGCCACGTGGGGATCGTATAGTTGCGACGGTGGTGCTCGAGGCGCCACGTAGCCGTTATAGCCCATCATGTCGACGTGTGGATGCTGGCCAGCTGGTGCCAGATGGTGAGAAGGCGGCCCTGGTGGATAGTGCGGCAGATAGGCGCTCGGTACACCGGGAGGCGGTGGTCCCTGAAGTAGCTTCCCCGATCCGGAGGGTTTCAAACCGCCCCCGCCGATCCCAGAGCCGGAGGTTGGCGTCAATGGCTTTGAGATCGGTGTGGTTGGTTTCTCCCGTTCCTCCATCTTCTTGGCGGACGGTGTGCTAGCGTTGCTGCTGGTCCCGCTCCTAGGCGAATGGGGCGGCACGTCTTTTTTGGTCTGCACACCGGCGCCCATCGCGGGCACCACTTTGTCAAGGCCGTTCTCACGAGGCGACGTCGTGCCGTTCACCACCGGGCTGGTTGGTCCCTCGCTGGCATCGTCCACGACCAGATCCTGATCGCTTTTCTCACCGTCGCTCTGTAACACCATGAAAAATACAATCACTATAAGAAATTTTTACGGGTTAATTTGTTTATTTCCAGGCATGTGGAGAATTTTTATTATTGGGGTACAGTGGACTTTAAGTATATTGTTCATGGTCGGGGCATGTGGCAATATGTTTAATGGCAATATGGTTAGGGTACACTGTAACTTTAAGTAAACGAAAGACAAATTAATATAGAATAATCAGATCGTAATATGAGTAGTCCGTTTACCGAAGTGATTAACTCTACGAAATTTGTATTCAAAATTTATCTATTTTAAACGTAGAGCGGTAAGCAAGAATTAAGTGCTTTGGTACGAAACTTAAAAAAATTTTTTAAATCGAGTTTATTAATAGATACTGAAACTGAATGTTTAGTTTCATATTGAAACTAAAATGTATGTTGTACTCTACGCAATTACCAGTGATCTGCGTTTTCCTCGGAATTTCTAATTTCAGCATCATATTTTGTGATTCGTGAAGCCTGAATGAGTTACTTTAGACTCGACAGAGCGAAGGATTTGTTGCTCTCGGAGAATGTTTGTCGAATACACTTAACGGAGTTTGCATATCAAAGTTACATATTGGTAAGGCCAATCAGCGTTATCTTATTTAACGTCTCGAGAGCACAGTTCAACGCTTCCTTCAAGCCGGTGTTATGCTACGGTAATAATAATTGCATCATCGTCGTTTCGTGGAACACGTTTGTCAAAGCAAGTTGTAGATTTAAAAATCTTTAATCAACAGAGGCAGCAAAAAGGTGGACAGTCTAAAAATATCAACGACTAGAAGACAAATAACCGCGATACAGTTCACGTAATTGTTACTATATTTGACGGAATTTTTACCCTATGTGATTATCAAAAGCAAAATAGTAACGATTCTTTGTTTATAACGCTAAACTTCATTGTTAATTTCACAGTCTATTCTTACAGGCAACAGTGGAGTAAAATACAATCATTGCTTGCAAACAAAACCGTTTTTCATCGCAATGCCATAATTTTATTAACAAATTTCTGTTACGAAGAAATAATACTAATCGATGTCTAAAATTCATTTGTAAGTCTGAAGTTAGCAGTTCCATCACAAGCTACAAAAGACATAGATATGGAAACGGGCGTACTCACGTGACCGATGTCTTTATCCTGCTCCTTTTTCATTTTCTTGATGTGCATCGGATGATCGTGGTGATTCTGCGAATGATGGGAATGATGGGTCTCCTGCGGTGTCCGGGGACGACTGTATTTATCACCGGGCGATATCGAGCTTCTCTGTAACGTGACGAAAATTACGCGTCGCGACGATGCCCTCGTCACACCAGGATCCGGGACATGGGGGTTTGATCGTGATAGATCGCAGTAGATAGTGGCGCGAAGGCCCGATCGAATCGGTCCCCCCTCATCATTCCCCGGGGAAAATATGCTCCGACGTTCAAACGAGTTTTTGATTTATACGGACGATTAAACGAGGCCCGTGGCGAAGGAGCGTTTTAACGACAGCCGTTTGCAAAGAAGATCACGGCAGCGGCCTGTTGTTCCGCCAACAAACCGTCGCGCAAAGCTCGCAGCCCAGTGTAACCACCCGGCAAAAATATTTCGCACCAACTTATGCAGGAAAAAGGTACTAAAGTTTTATTCGTTTACGTTTTACACTCTATAAACAGTAATTTACGATACTACTACTGTATCGTTTAAACATCCGACTGTTTAAATGTCCAGGCAATTTCCATTGTTCGGTGCCAAGTTTGAAATGTAAAGTGATGTTTTTCATAATACGGTCCTAATTACGCTGTGCACGAATGAACCGTGGTTATTCGTATTCAAATATTTCATTCTTCCAGTTGTTTACATTGTTGTAATGATCGTATGACGAGCGAGAAGTGTTTGAATAGCGAAGAGTACATGCTTATTGGCTAATGCCCGTTACACAAGGTTAGCGAACAATTAGAGGGGAAGTAAAAAAGTGAAATCATGTTTGTTACACTGAATGTATCATACATACATATAGGGAGGTGAGAGAAGAGAGAAATATTAAACTCATATGTCCAACTTTCATGTTGTTATTATTATTATTATTATAGAGAAAAAAGAAAATGCTAGATTGGTTGGTGAACGTACCAGAAAATTAAAAAATTTTTTTAAGTACCAGGTCTAATACGAAAATTAGTGGTGGTCACACTGCTCGCGCCTGGGGTCGTTAATCCTCCGGTTAAATAACAGACAACCGGGGGCGCGCGGTCCGAAACAACGGATTACCACCCCCTACCCGCCCCTCCACGGTGTTTCCCGCGGCTCACGATCGACGCGACAAAACCGTAATTACCCGCGTCGTCGGTTATTATCAATTGTCACGCGAGCCCCGTGCTCGCGATAATCGATCCCGACTTGGCCCGTTTCAGCGGTTGAACGAAGCTTAGCCCCCAGCCTTCTTGAATATCGACGGGGTTCAATCGAGATCCTGATGGTTTTTCAAGCGGAGAATAACGACGACCGAACGATTTAATCGACCGTGACGAGACATTTTCTTGGGGACAGGAGGGGGAAGGAGGTTGGCAACGCGTGGGGTGGATTTTTTTATGTGAATCTTGTTTTTTTTTTTTTATTGGAGACTAGCTGTATCATGAATATCACTGATTCTCTGTTGTACATTCGTGGGATATTACACGCAAGTCTATTGTTTATTGTACGAACGAATATTCATTGATCGTAGAATGTGATTCGAGTAATAATTGGTTTATGGAAATGTTCGTTCAGCGAACTGTGGATTACGAAGTGCATGGGAGTACACCACCAGCCGACAGTATGGGGCTAAATTTTACAATTGAGGGGCTTAGAAGGGGTACGTGCCACAATACTTAATAAATAATAGTAATAAAAGAATAATAATACTATAAATTGACAATATTTTCAGGGAAAATAAGGTTAGATCTAGTTGATGGTACAAAAACAATTGGCAGATGTGCAAATTATTCGTGAATAGTTCACAAACTTGTATTAGTTTCATGAAATCGTCTATAATTTGGTTGTTTCTTATGATATTAATGTAAGATCTGGTCTCGTACTTCAGGTTGGTAGTGTATCGCGATAAAAAAAAAACAGCAACGTCTTCTGTATTACTTCGAAAGCATACATTTTGTTTCTTCATGGAAGCCACTGGGACGGTAATAAGCTGTACTTTCCCGGGGGGGTTCAAAGGATTAATAGAAACACTGACTTGCCTCGATAATTGTCGCCATACGGTCCTGAGGCAGCGACAGTTAGCGAGGCACTACTCCACTCCCCTCGCTCGACTAGAATTCATACAGTTCACAAAGAGTATCTCAAAACAGCGATCGATCCCAACTGTAACCACCCGCGTTTATACCCTAATAATTGCAGTGCTTCCCTATCTTACAGGCAAAAATCAATGAAAAAATATGGCGTATAATGTGCACACATAGAACAACAGCGATCAATCCCCGAAACGCGTAACAACGCCGACAATCGTCGTGATTCGATCTCCCGGAGACGGTGGTGACTAGGGATGAACCGATCCAAGTAAATACACACGAATAAATCATCGATACTTTCGTTTCAATACCGAGTAATTTTAGTATCGAGGGGGCTCTGAACTCATTGCCATTTTACTCATCATATCTAGATAAATATATATACATAAATTTATATACATCATATCTAGATAAATAGTTCTTCCTAAATGAGTCGACATTTGGCAAACATATTATTCAATCTCATTAACTATTTAAATCTCAAGATGACACCCTTAGGTACTGCAGTTTGTCACAATGTATTATTCGAATAAAATTCTGCTCAACTCTGGTTAAAATACATTATATTAATAAAAAAAAAAAGGACTTTGTATTCATGTTCCTTTGAGACACGTAGGTATCGATACTGTTGACTCTATATACTTTTTCTCCATAAAATTTACGAGTAAAAGTACCGATACCTTGACGGTATCGGTTTATCCCCAGAGGTGACAATTAACGAAGCGCACAACCGCAATACTCCGTCGTGCAGAAAATCACAGTGTCTACAACCCAGGACTGGCATATCGCTACCATCGTAACCGGACCCAAAACCGCAATACTTAAAACCTCCCATCTACCTTGTAGCTAATCCGAAAAACCTTTCTCCCAATCGAAATCAGAACCTCCGTTGGTCTCTTGCACCAGACCACGGAATTTCAGTCTGACCACTATCATTCTCCAATTTCCACATTTTCCTGCAACCGGCACGCGACATTTACGGGCCACCGTTCGATTCCCAGACTGCGGGAGGGTAGCGTAATCAGCAGGGTGGACAGCACCTTGTCACGAATGCCAGAGAGAATTCGATGGATAGGGGAGATAGAGACAGGGAGAGAGTATTAAGGGGACGACCCGAGGCGTCTACGGAACACCACACGCACGAGGCATTGTAGAAAGAGGATTAAAGGAAGCGTGATACCGAAGAGTGGGAGGAGGAAGGCAAAAGGGGGTAAAAAAGGACGAAGAAGAGAACGACGGGTGAAAGGTAGGGTGGATGCTTTGGGAAGAGAGGTTGGTAATGATTATAGACTCGGCGGAGCGCGGGAGAGAACAAAACGAGGAGACACACACGCATACACATACTGGGTGTCCCACCGAATGTGAGCACCTTCAATATCTCCCTTATTTTTGAACATACAGACAAAATTTGAAAGGGCAATGGTATTAGGTTAGAAGGGGCAAATACTGTGATAAACAAAAATATTTTGAATGTTTTTTTTTTTAACGGGACTACATATTTTTGTCATCGTGGCGTAATTCAAGTCAATTATCTATAGTAATTTGACCTTCGTTTGACTTTGAGCACGAAAACTCCAGACATGTAAGAGAGTGGATTTAAATAATAAACTGAGACTATGATAAAGAAATCAGTGTGAAAATGTTTTGAAGTTGATGGACATCGCTTTCAGTATTCGTGAAAATAATTTTATTTGATAAAAATGAGATATTTCAAGATGCTCGCGTTAGGTGGGACACCCTGTATACACGTGTTTAGACGTGCGGGTAGAGAACGGACCCGGGAGGCGAAAAGAAACCCGAGGAAACTGCCCGAGGACCGGTCGAATAAGGAGGGAGGAAAATAGAGAATGGCGAGAGGTAGAATGAGAGGGCGTCGATGGGCGTTTCGCGGTCCCGCGATGATTACAGGCTCGGCAAACCTATAATACACGCGCTGCTATCCCCCCCCCCCCTCCCTCCCTCCGCCGGTACCATCCTCTTCTTTATGGCTGCTCTCCCCGGCTCTTTCCATTATTTTTTTCCGCCTCCCCCGTTCCTCGCCACCGCCACCGATCCTCCTCATCCTCTCTATGCCCGTCTCTGTTCCGAGGCGGCGGCGGCCTACGACGATCCCTCTCGCTGCGAGCCCTCGCAAGAAGATCGTTACTTGCATTTTCTACGGGGCGAGAGAACAGCCGTGTCTGGCCCCTTGGCTACGAGCAGCACCGGAGAAGAAAAGTTTTCTAGACCGAGAGAGGATCATCCCGTGGACCCTTTCTCGCCCCAGACACAGCAGACCTCATACCCTCCCCTTAAAGCCTGATATGATCGGGCCTAGCGTTCGTCTGTAATTACTTTCGTAAGTTTATTGTTCACCCGATCCAAGGCCTGACCTGTGTTGGTATCGCTCCCGTCGCTGGGCGAATTTAGAGCTGCGAACCTGGAACGGTTCTTCGATTCTGAGTCGCGGAACCAACCGGTTGGATCGTTTGTAGAATGGTATACACAGGTTCCCAAAGTGGACGCTGAGAGAGATCTGCAGGGGCGTTCTAAATAGTTATTTTATTTTCTTTAGTTTCAATCTATCTTTTTAAGAGTCAAAGACTGCGCAAACTGCAGTTGGAAATTTTAATCAGAAATAGTTTACTCGAAGGGGACGCTGAAGAGAAAATACCTCTCTATACCTTCAACCCCATCTCCGTTTTTCTAACTTCCTGCGGATTCGTGCGTGACACGCGTATTTGCTTAAGAGGCAAGTATTCACCGTTCGAAACGTTGTTTCTTCCTCGTGAAACGGGAGAATGATAGAGCTACCGTGTGTTTTTTCCTGCGTGGAACGAGGAAAACGATAAAAAAAAAAACCAGGGGAAAGACGAGTCTCTCGACACGCCGTTCTTAGGAACGGTTAGGTCCCCCTCCGGAGGCCCTCTTTTTCCTCGTCGGCCACTTTATAACCTCTTCTCCTGCCGTTCGTCGAAAACATAATTGCGCGTGCAGTGGGCACTCGTGAGCGAAGTACGCTGGAGCACTCGTTGTATACCCTTCACGCGCACGGGAAACGTTACACGCGTGTAATGTACCTGTAATACACGGGGTCACGTCGCGAGTACTCGTATCCCCCCCCCTCTCTCTCTCTGGAGTACCTTGTACCGCGTGTGCGTTTAAGTTAAGCGTACACGCGGGAGAGCTTGGCGTACACGCGATTGTACCGAGATTAGAAAACGGTCCTCACGAAGTGGATAATTTCGAGCGAACAGAGGCGAAAGAAATAATAATTGTGCGGGGAAAGTCAAGCAGGATTTTACAACCGGCCGAGTGTACCGGGTGTCCTGGAATGAACGGATTTGTATATGATAGCTGGCTGCGATTGTAAATTGAAATGATCCAACGAACATTTTTGTTAAGTGAATTATGAATCTTGTGATTAACCGCGTTTATTGAATTTTTGTGCCTTTCACTGATTGTTTTACTGAGCAGTGCATACTATTTTCTTTAGTTTTTACTGAAAGTTTAATATATGTAAGGTAAATCACTTGCTCGCTAGATAAGATTGCTCTTTGGTTCTAACGTCCTATGCCATTTCTTAAATACAGTGCCATTCTACTGAGGAAATACGGTTAATCCTCGATTAGTGCTCGAAGGTTTGTCGGAACTGACAAGGAGAGGTACCCAGAGGTAAATAAATTTCATTTATCATTATTCAATTTTTCTGATGCTTCCTCAACAGGATGGATGAGATGAATTCTAACAAAGAACACTGACGGACAGAATTTGCGAAACAGCCTAATACACAAGGTAAAAAATAATCGAAAGACCTTCCTATAATTATGAACTTTCACTCGAAGACTGACTAGAAACGTGTGAACTGTACCTAATAAATGCAAACCGTCGGTTTTCGTATTAAAAAAAAGAAACGACCGCCGTCGACGTATATCGCATCGAAATAATTTAAATCGTCCGTAGTTGGGAGCGCCAGCAGCAGTTTTTGTTGCTCGTCGATTCGATACGATTGGATTATTTATCTGCGTCATTAAATCCTTCGAAATCCCCAAGGGGATGGAGAGGAAACGGGCCGAATCGAAACGGATAAACGGCGAAAAAACGCCCCCCTCCGCCCACGGTACGCGGTTCATTTGTTTATTTATGCCGATAGATTGCGCGTAGAAGTTCGACGGATAATCCGACTGTTAACTCGACATTTCGATAAATGATTTGTCTGCGTTTCCCGGGCGGAGAAATATTTACCGGCGCGCAAAATACCGTGGGGCCATAAATCGTGGACGCGTATTATTGTTTCATCCGTGATAAAACAGTGGAGAAGGGGTGGGTTAAGTGAGGGGGGGAGGGCACTGACACAATTTCATTTGCGTAGTAAACCTTAATTACGAACACGCGAAAAATAACAGCAAATTCGGCTGTGTCCGTGCGCGCGACGAATCTACCCCCATCCCCCTTGTTCCCCTTCGAATGCGACGATTAATAATTTAATTCGAACCGACGACGACGTGATCGCCGAGCGCGCTTTCGGGAACTGCTTCCGTTATTCGCGATAAGCGAAAGAGCAACATGCAAAACACCGACGAACAAAAACCAGAGGAACACAACAAACGTAGAATTATACAGAACTTCCAAACCCCTTAATTTTGAAATATCGATTTAAGGGTTTGGGCGTTAAAGGGTTAACGCAAGCGCGATCCGAAACACTGAATCGTTCTAGTCCCCGGGAAATCGTTTTTACAACACCCACATACCTCCCCGCCTAAGTGACCATGGAAACAGTGCGCAAAAATTAAACTAACAAAAAAAAAAACAATCCAACAAACTATTTCTACTCACGTGTCTCTCCTCGGTGGAGCTGAGACCTGTAACAAGACAAAATGCAAACAATCGTCAGTCAAAAGCCCATAATCATCAATCCTCCCAGAGGGGGTTGGGGAATGAGTTTCATGCATGAAGTTTTCGATGTGTGTGCATCGAGATAGAGGTGGAGGGGGGGTTAGAGCGGTGAAAGGAGGGCAAAGAAAAAAAGAAAATTGCCAAAATCCCGGCCGCAGCGCGTCGATAAAATGTTAATAACGTGCCTATAAAAGAGTAGATGACGGTACACGGATAAGGATGGGGTGGGAGGATTGGGGATCGGCGGAAGGGCGCGACCGGCGCCCGTATAAATGATCTTCATGCATATTTATGCGCTTTTCGCTCAAAACCGCCGGTGTCCGCTAACAGGGTGACGCAAACACGCCCCGCAAACCCCTCCAGCCGAAAGCGGATACCCGAAAAGCGTTTGGAAAATTTCCAGTCGAGCGAACCCGGCACGCTCTCACGCCACGTCGGCTACATATTTTTTTTAACCCCTCGTACCCCCACCCCTCACAGTGGTCCACAATCTAGCCAACCCACTCACCCCCTATATCCAAGCATTTTCGGTGGAGCGCCGCCACACACTCACACACCCCCCTCTCGGTCGCGTCGCGCAGCTTTTTTCTCTCGTTGAGGCTCGCGAACATCCGGTATCACAAAAGCAGGATCAAACGGATAACGGTGACAAAAATAGAGTGAGAGGGAGAGAGAGACAGAGAGGGGGGGATCCAGGTCGATGGTCGACGTTCCCGCGTTCGCAGGTGAGATTCGTTATATCGGACCGCCACGCCACCGATGGCAGCGGGTAAGGGAGGGTGCAGAGGGTGGATGGGAGGTGGGTGTGCTCACTCGAACGTGACCAAAGGCCGGAATTTCGTTAATTTCTTTTCCGGCCGCGCGCTCGCCGCAGCGGTGGCAATTAAAATCGTGTGAAAGGGCGAAAGATATGCGTATAACGAGTACGCCGAGGGGAAGGGTGTAGGGTTTTACGATTCTCGTGGAACCAGGGGATGCTGGAATTATCTGTCTCTTTCTGTCTGTATATCTACCTCTCTGTCTCTCTATCTCTCTGTTGCTGGAGGAATTCGATCGTGAAGGGAAGGGAACAGAAACGTTCCTGCGGTTTTTCGAATGACCAGAGAGGAAGGGGGTGGGATAACGGCGATACCAAAGGAAGCCTGGAAATTAACCGGCGGTAATTTGAATTGAAGCCGAGTCAGAGCTTGCAGGGGAGAGAGAGTTTGAACGGGACTCGAGATCTGATTTCTGGTTCGCGGTGAGATGGTTGTTTATTGTAACGAATTGCGTAGCAATTTTGTTGTAAGGAGTTCCTATACAGCCGTGGAAATACATATTTTGAACGCACACAATGAAATGTAAGTATCCCCGGAGATTTTTGCATTGAGTTCTCTATGTTATTATTATTAGACTGCGGATATTATGTCATTCTGCATAAAAATCCGCAGTCTACTAATCATGAAGTAGTTTCAACAACAGAATAAACATCGTTATTTTCAACGTCTATTATATTACTCTCCCTCTCTCTCCCATCTTCGATAAAAACGTATACGCGGTTTCAGCTCGCGAACATTTCGCCGACAAACAGAACGAAGCTTCCAACATTTCCGTACCGTCGCGATACACCTGTGTGCAACGGACTAAATATATACATAAATAAAGGAACAAATTACTCACCGCCGTTGCTCTTCAAATCATCGGGCTGGCCCCGATGCAGTTCCGGTTTGCCGAGCATCGAAAGCGGATGCGCCGCCGTTGTGCCGGGCGCACTCGCGGCTCCCGGAGTCTAGAGCGGTCGAGGCGGAAGTCGGCACCGGAAGTCCACCAGCTGGCCCTAGTCCCGGAAGTCCGGGTAGACCGGGATGAGCGCCTATCGCCGCGGCCGGTGGCAGTTGCTGGGCATGCATTTGCTGCAACAACCTCGATATGTCGGGTCTCTGTTGCTGGAAACAGAGAAAACCACCGAGTTTCAGCATCATTTCGAACTTACGGTTGGTCAAGTTTCTCAACCATGGCAGTGGTCGTTTAACCCTTGTGTAAGCAACCGGGTACCTGGGTAACCAAGTAACCATTTTTAAATTTCATTTAACAATGTTCTTGTCTAAAACATCACTTGGTACCATTGGCGTAACTAGATAGGGACTGGATACTTATCAGAATCTCTACTACATTATACAATATGTTTAAACATTTTCTCAATGAAAATAAAAATTCGGAGGAAAGTCCGGAAAAAATGAAAATTCCTTTGGATCGCCAACGACCCACATTGCCTACGGAGGGTTAAATCTAGAAAACACTTATTCTAGTAAAACCCTTAACACGCAGAGAGACTCTTATGCCACTTCCTAAAACCATCGTCGCGACCCCCGAATCAACGAAAGGCAATACGGCCTACCAATATCAATCACAGCGGTTACAGCTCTAATTTCAACCTCACCCCTCCATTTCCATCGCATCATCGGAAAGCAGAAACCCCTCCAAAACGAAAATCCAATCGGTGGTTGCAAGAGAGCCTCGTGCCTTAACAAGGGTGAAAAGGAGGGGTGCTGTGGGTCGGTTGGTTCGAGGACCCTCCGTCTAGCCGCCAGGCGATAGCCAGCCAGCTCGAAAAGCCGCGTAAGAAGCGACAAGAGAGAGAGAGAGAGAGAGAGAGAGAGAGAGTAATAGGGGGGCGGATAAAGCCGCGGGGGATGGAGAAGAGGCGGTCTGGTGTGTACTAGAAGGGGGCGTTTGGGAGGAAGGGGGAAGGGGATCGAAAGGGAAATATCGAATGTAAGATCAAGAGGGGATAACAGAGGCCGGTAAACTCGTTACGTGCGCGAATCATGCTTATCGTGGATTTCACTTAGGTATTTAGGGTGGAGAGATGAGAAGGGGGGCCGAAAAGTAACACACCGGCACCGAACCAGAAGGGTCGGCGGTGGTCTCAGTCGCCGAGGGTGGATTATGCGAAATAACCCCTCTCGGGCTACGCGCTGCCGATTGTGTACGATAGTTATTTTCCTGGACTGTCGTGGGTTGAATGGGGCAACGTACAGAGAGAGAGAGAGGGAGAGAGAAAAGGGGGGGCGTGTGCGGAGTTGGGTTTAGCGTGTGTATACACCCGCCTCGTATTGGTCTTCCCGCAGCAGAGTTTACCCCCTGGGGACGTATTTGCGGGGCGCCCTACGCACGTGTACGTACTCCACGGATGTAGCTTGCAATTTGCCTTGCGGCCACTCGACTTCCGGCGAGGGGCTTTTGACGCGCAACAATTTTTTCCACGACGGAGAGAGAAATACCCCTCGACGAAGTGGGAAGGCTTCGAGACGATATGGCGTGGACGGTATGTACTTTTTTGTTCGAGGTATCGATCCTTTTTTTTTTTTTTTTTGGTTCTTTTTTTGGTTTGCCATTTACCGGTTCTAAGAATCGAATTGGCTGGATGCCTCGAAGTTGATGATTTCTACAGATTTTGGTTAATAGCTGGTGTAAGTATTTCTCGCTGTGACATTTCGATCGTGTCACACATTTGAATATACTACTGAGAAATTATTAAATGTCGCGTCTCTGAATAAGTGAAAAGTGTAGAGCAATGGGGAAAATGGAACTTGAATGTTTTGGTATATTGTCAAAGGGGAGTTAGTTTGTCTGTTGGGTTCTGTTGTAAATACCTTCTAGAAAATTAGTAAATAATAATTGAACAGCAATGTGAAATAAGAATGATTAAATTGCATATCAGTTATTAACCCTTTAGAAGTAGAATTTTATTTTGGAAATGTGGTACCTGTGTGCGTGATTCATTTGAATCCTTGAGAAATTGCGATTAGACAAACAAATTTATAATATTCAATAATATTTCGTCAAAATTCCTCCAAAATTATGACACGTAACCTAACCACGATCGAGCAGCCTTTCCGCATCAACGAGTCCACTTTGCTATACAGACCGTCCCAGCGGCCCCCCTCGTTTCACCGCTGGGGCCGTCGAACAATGGCTCCGGGGCTCCATGCAATTTCCTCCGTCGAATTCCAGCAGCGGCGCACAGTTTTTCGCGCGATACGCGGCCGTTTTTATTCCCTGGCATTATACAACGTTATCGTTTCCGCGCGATACCGTCCCGCCTCCATCCAGGGTAGACAAAAAAAAGAGAGAAAGAACCATTCTGATTATAATTCGTCCACGAGTGGGCAGGGGGGGAGCATGGTTCCAACGATAGCCCACACCCCCGCCTCCTAGCTTCGACAAACAAGCGACGAGCCGTGAATACGTATTTTCCGTTACGCGCACGGAATATCCTTCTCGAAAAAAAAAAGCGAAAGAGAAAGAGAGATAGAGACACTCACGGTTCGGGGTGTCGAACGAGCAATAATTGTATAACGTGGGAATAGCGAGAGCGGGAAAATGCATAGCACGGTTATTTTCGTCGGAAATCGCGTTTCACCGGGAACAATTACTCGAACCCGCCACACACCCCCACCCCTCTTCTCGGCCCCACCCAATTCGCTTGAATCCGGCTGAAAAAAAAGCCAGGCAGCGTACACAGGCGAGAAGGCATCGATAAATACAATAGATACACAGCGAAAATCGTCGCTCTGGCCCCTTGATGAACGGACGCGACGGCAGGCAACGGTCGTCCCTCCCCCGATGGTATTCAATTCGTATTCGAAGCAACGAGCGGGACACCACCGTCATTCGTGCAGCGGCAAACGAAACGTAATAGTCCCAAACGAGGTTTAACGCGCCGTGAATAATACGCGGGGATATAGGGTGGAGAATGAGAGGGAGAGACAGAGGAGGGATACGATTGTGCCGTTCGAAGGGGTGTGGATTGGTCCGTGCGGGCATCGGCGTTGCCCCGAGGTGCGAGTCCTCCATACCTGTGCGTTTAAATACGTGTCAGGGAATATACCCTTCTCTCCCGCCCCCCTTCCCCACGTGGTGCGCGCGGCTGTACAAACGCACCCCAACGATGCGTGCACGTACGAGGGGGAAGGAAGAAGGGTGGTGTGTCGGGGGAACCAGAGGGTGGTGGAGACTAACAGAGAGGTCCAATCAGATATAGGAGAGACACGGGGGATGAGAGACAGGCAGACGTACACGGTAGGGAGAATTGCGTTCCGCCGTTCCACACACGCATACACACACAAACATACATACACGTAGTGTTATTAAACGAAATATTGATTCAACCCCTGTTTACCGAGTAATACATATTCATGGGGGTTGGCGCTTATGTCTATTTGCCTCCGTCGTCCCTTCAGCCTTTAGCCCCCTCTAACCGGTTTCACTATCTCTCTCTCTCTATCTATTGCTCTCCTAACGCTTGATCTATGGTTCCTCGTCTATTTCTCGCCCTTCATCCATCTGGCTGACTCTTTGTTCACTACCCTGTCTTACTCTATTTAGTGTTTCCACCCTACGAGAACGGGAAATCCCATCCGACGACCCTTTCTATGTGTCGTGGAGAGTACGAGGGAGTGCATGTGCACGTGTCTTGCCCCCCTCCCCCTTTGGCGTTCCCTGACTTCACCTTGTAACCCTACTACAATTCGGTGCGGTGTGCACGCACTGATTATGTCCCAGCATGTCGATGACGCGTATTACGCAACTGCAGATTGCGGTGTACGTGTGTCACGACCTCGATCGGACGCGCGATTTGTAGCGGTCAGGACCGTCGTGGCTCGTTAAATCGGGGACACGCGACGACGGGATTCTCTGTCTAGACCGATCACCGAAGGGTGACCGGTTTGCTACGGTTCTCTGTTGTTCTCTTTTTAACCCCCGGCCGTTGGGTCCAGCCCATATTAGGTCACACGTTTCGCCTGTATTTTTATATACAAGTAGAACCTGGATTAGTAAAAGTAAACCGATTTTTTTAGGTCTGAAAAACCCCCAGGTTACTTATCGATGTCTCTGCTACATTACACAATCGTTCGTTGAGTCAACTGTTCAAAGTTTTCATTGATAAAAATAAAAAATCGGAGGTACGTCCGACAAAACTGAAATTTCGCTTGGTCTGTCGCAAAGAATCACACTGCCTACGAAGGGTTAACTGAATCATTGATCTCTGTTAAGATTCTTACTATATTGTTACTATAAGTTGTATACTTACGTTTTTCGACCGACCCCGAATAAAAAGCAATGAAAAGAAAAAAAAAAATGCTAAACACCATCGTTGACACGTCCGAACGTCAATGCGAGTAACCGTACGGGCTAGAATAATCCAAGCACGCTTTTAACCTAGTGACGACAAGCACACCACACCGCGTGGGCTTTGTTTAACCCACGGCATCGACGACCGAGGAATTGTATTCAAGTCGTGCACACCGAGGAACCAACTCGGAACTCAATTATACGCGTCACGGCCGTCGAATGCCAATGTTCATCCACGACGACGCATAGCCAGAGTCCCGGCGGCTAAAACAACGGTCGCCTATAAGTATGAGAAAAACGTTTTCCAACGGAAGTCCATCGCAGTAGACACCCCGTTCGAAGAATGGAAAGGATGCGTGTGACGGCCACGGTCGACATCCGTTTTCGAAGTCCGTGTTTATGTAAATTTTCACTTCGCCCGTGTCCGACCATCGTAACGCCGGAAAAACGATTCTTCGAGTTGAAATTTTAATGATTGCGATTGGATTCTTCGCGACAGACAGATGTATACACGGTGGATTCCGACGCGTATCGACTTCAAGTGTATATATCCACTTGAAGAAGTGGTGAAGAGTGATAGTCTGGAAATTAGTAGTTTAAACGTGACTCGACAACACTTTTTAGCTTTTTGAACGATCGATACACCTTGAACATTGAATCAAGTATCGTATTGCGGGGGACCGAAGTGTATGACTATTGATATTTAAAGTGGACGTGAGTCACGGAGACTGTTAGAGAAACCTGATTCTATAGCCATAGGCAGATTTGAACATACTTGTTAGAAAATTTTTTTCACTTTCGTGGACGGGGATTCGTGTCTAACTGGATATAATTTTAATAACGAGTATCGCGTACCCTTGAAGAAGATTTGTAAAGATAATGGAATATTTTTAAAGCAACGTGCTGCCTTCGATAGTGCCAGTTAAGAGACAGGGTTCTGCGACTGGTATTCTGATCTGATAAAGATGTTCCTCGATAGAAGCTCTTAATTTTGTTACGTAAATGTCCATGGATCAGTTCGAAAATTAGTCTAATAGATAATATAAATTAAGTTTTGAACATTTTTACGCAAAGTCGCATGAATTGTTACAGAAGATCTCATAGGACCTTACTTCTTATAAAAATAAAAGGGTTGCAATCATCACAATCGTTTGCAAAAATTATAAATTGTATGTTTAGAAAATATTAAATAATTCAACGAAGCGTACACTTACCCCTATTATAGAGTTCAGTTCCGTCATCGTAACCTGCTTAGCTCTGTCGACAGCGGTTGCGACCTGCTGTTGATGTTCCTGAGATAGAAATGGCAGGATTTGGCCAATGATGGCGTTCAGTCTCTTGGAAATTTCAGCCTAAACAAAAAAAAAACAATCATTCTTAGTAGATATTCTTGTCGAAGGTTCATGTTTACGTAGAAGAATAATCGTGGTCACACTTAAGCCCACGATGATACGATTATTTTCGTGACCATTAAATGTCACGCGTTAACTTTCAATATTTATTTACAACAATTCTTATCGTTACATGTTTCACGTTCTACCCGATATATTAGCTACAAAAGACTTGTATGCACAACTGTTCCTTTTATCGAATACAGATGTACATACAGGTGCGTGACTTCACAGTCTCGCGAAGTCGTCCAGAACGAACGATTATTAATAGAATTATCAGCATATGCTAATTCTATTGAAGTACGAATACAGTTAACAATTAAAATAAATTAACCGGTGTGATGTAAGTGACAGTTTCCACAAACGGAATGTCTGCTGGAACTTTAATTCGGCCGTCATGCGTCAGTTCGATTCGAGTTTCAAAACTGCAAAATGGCGGGCACTCGTTTCGAAGAAAGAATTCGACGTGGGTAGCGAGGAGCAAATATTGTTAAAAGACTCGAACGGAATATCACGAGTGAATATATAAACGCTTCCGTTGGATAGTTATTTTCTTCTTGTTTTCTTTTTTTTTTCTTTTTTTTGTATTCGAACGAAGCTTCTCGCGTCTATTTTCACCCACGAGTGCCATTTCTAGGGTCGACATACACACACACACACAGTCGGTGATCGGTCGACGCGTGAGAGCTGCGTAGTAAAACGTTTTCGTTAACAAAGTGCACAACAGAAAACACGAAGAAGAGGCGGCTCTTTTATTTCGTTTTCTCGTGACCGCCGGGCGCACATGCCTCCCAGCTGGCCGAGATCGAAAATATTTTCGGCCCCCTTCTCGCGAGCGAAATATTTAAGCGCGCGAACACTTTTAACAGACGACCCGGTTAAAATTAGGCGCGCGAAAGAAACGGTACACGGGGGGGGGTGTCGGTTTAAATTACTTCTGAACCGTATTTCCCATTTATCAGGGGGAAAGTTTAGTGGTTGGAACGGTAAGGTTGAGTAATTGTTCGGTAACTGATACGCTCGGTATTAATGGACAAATTTGAAAGAAGCACTATACGGGTAGGGGACCTGTAACTAATAGACAGGCGGATTTTACGTATTTGTGGCTGACATAAATATACACAGAACTACTAAAGAAAGAATTATAATAGCACCTAACCCCAATTTATTTCACTGTTTATCTTAACGGTGACCACCAATGACAACATCCACTTAATTCCTATTCTCGTGAAGTATTTTATACAAATATAAATCTGCATGGATATCCGTGGTTAAGTGATTAGTTCTCTGAACCATAGAACTTGTTGAGGCAGAAATCCTGCGGATACTATACACGTGATTCTGGCAACAGGCTATAGATCTTCTCCGAGGGGAATTGAACGATAAATTTGCACTATTTAACCAGCTTTATACTCGGACTGTATGATGTTTTTCACGAGTGCACCGGTACAGTCGCAAAATGAAATTGCACTTTCTCCTTGAAAATTGAACGCTACGATTTTTTTGCATCAATCGATTCCTTACATACATAAAAAAATTTTAACTGCATTTGGAACAGAACCTGACCCCAATTGCCAAAATCGATCTCTATATTACTATATTTGTACATTTCGATTATAGTATGTTTCGAGCGTTTCGGAAATCGTACAAAGTTTCGGATTCGAGTTTCGGGAACTGAAAAATCAAGTTCCAACACACCCCTGAAAAATACTGTCCCCGCCCGTCGTAAGAAAATACACAAACTCCTGGATCCGCGTGGCGAACCGATGAATCTCCGTATTTCTAGCGCGGGTTTCACCGTCGACACGGCGAGAGTCTCTATTTTTGTCGCACCTCGTAAGAATCCCCGGAGCGCCGCGGGGAAATAAGTGACGCGGCGAACGGGCATAAGGTGGATGATTAACGAGACACGGAGGGATAAAGCGGTGCCACGGCTACGTTCCGCCGTTTTAACGAGCGATCCCGAAAGGTTTCCGTCCGCCCGCCAACCGGGGGATACCGCGGAAACGACGCGCGGCGAACAACTTTCGCAGTCGATGTATTTTCGAGGTTGCCCCAGACCGTGTGCGCGCGAATATCCTCGGAGAGATGTTTACGAGCCGGGGAGATTCTTCGCGGCGAACGATTCCTTTGAACGCACGCGCGGATACGCTACGCGCTAGTGATTCTTATTGCTCGGTCCATTAGCCGAGTAGCAACGGCATCCAAAAAGTAAATATTGATTTTAATCAGCTGTACCCCTTGTATACGAAGCAGAGGAAAATATATTGGACGTAACCGTTTGTTTATTTGCCGGGATGATTATAGTTCGGGAACGAAAGCAATATCAAAAGACGTTTGAGGGCCTGCCAAGGGGAATGCTTCGAATTCTAAGTCGGGACCAAGATACACACGAATCGGGTCTTCACGCGGCTAAGGGATTCGATTCAGGACATTCCAGGACGGAAAGACCGAAGTCGAATGAAGATAAGTAGGAGGGGCAGGGATTGGACTGATTCAACGGTGAAGGATCCAAGCTAGTCCTAGACCTCGGGGACTTGAGGTCCTCTAAACGCAGACACCTGAACTCGAGACCCTCGAGTTCAGTGTCTCTCCGAATGCAGAGACTCCAAGTCTGGAGCCAATCGAACAGAAGAATCCGAATACAAAGTGCTCCAAAGCCAGAGGTCCAAATACGAGAGGCTTCGAACTCAAGAACCGAAGCATATGAGTCTCTTAACGTAAGGACCCAAGCCTAAGATTTCCCAGACCCAAGAACCGAAGTCCGGGACTTCACAAAACCAAGAACTCAAGCTCAGGACTCCCTAGACCAGTAACCAAGACTCCCAAATCAACGAACTCAAAAACCCAAAACTTCTCGAATCCACAGACTCATCTAAACTCGTCCAAACCCAGAAACCTGGATCTGAGGGAAATCTCTAAGTTAGGTCTTGATCCTTAGATCCACAGACATCCGGACTTGGGACTCTGTATCTGGAAGACTGAGTGCTTCGGTCCTTGGGTTGAAAAGACATGAATCCTTGTGTTGGAGGGCTTCGAATTTATGTCTCCGGGTCTTCTAGTCTTGTGTTTCTAGGTTCGGAAGGCACTAGGTTCAGATATTCCAGTTCAGAATCCTCAGGCCATGAGTCCAGATCACGGTCTCGAATTGTTCTATTCTAAGTCGTACCACTTAAAGTTGATCCCTTTTAATATCTGGCTTGATTTAACACGGTTCTTATAATTCCGACTTAACCCGATATCTCCGCGATTTTTTTCTAATTTTAAATCTAAATCCCTTTCGAACCCATCGCTTTTTCTCCGTTCTAACTCCGAGTGGGGGAAAGGTATGCTACCCGTCCAGCAGGAATCATTCCCAGGTTTTGTCGGTATGCATACGGCGGGCTACCGGTTTATCGAACAGGCGGAACGACTTCCCGGAACAGCGCTTCTCGCCAGCCGCGCAACGTCGAAACTGCCGGCTGGCTCTCGTACGACTGCGGATTTTCTCGGAGCCTCGTTCCGTGTCGGCGAGTCATCGTGGCAAATGTTTATTCGTCCGTGTACACGGGACAAACTTATCCTGCTTAATGACTTCGGCAAACACGCGATGTTAACCGACGCGCGTCTCGCGCCGTAAAGAGTGTTGAACGGAGGACTGAGGATGAGGAGAAGGCAAAGGAAATGGCGATAGGGATTTGCACGCGTGGAACGGAGAGATCGACAGAGAAGAAGAGAGGATCATGTCGGTCCCTGCGAGAATTTCGGTGCGCGGAAATTGGCAGAACAATGTTGCTCCTCTCGGGTGGAGACAGCTGCGACGCGTTCATCGGCGCCAGGTTTTAGGTGAGAAGGAGGGTCTGAAACTTACCTGTTTGTGCATCTCCACGTTTAGGCCATAGGACATCTCGTAGTACTGTAACAGAGAAAGTAAACTTTGTTAGAGTAATTGTACGTACAAGTTTTAGCGCAAAATTCGCGAACCGTGAGAGCAGGGGGGGGGGGGAAGAAAAAAAAAACGTCATGGGCAAATTCATTATCCAGATAAAAAGTTTTGAATAACGAATATAAGTTTTAAAAAAAGTACTTCGTTATTTATAATTGAATTAACGTGGAAACTCCAGTATTTGTAGTAAAATAATACTTCTTCTTGACTGGGTAGATACTTGGCAAAGAATTATTTATTCCTATTAACTATTTCGAGATATCCTTGATGAGTGTTCGAAGGCTCCTCGGCACTGACAAGGAGAGATCCCCAGGTGTAACGCTGACTTTTTAATGATGTCTGTCACAGTGATAAAGCTTAGAATTCTGAAACCAATGGTATTCCTTTCAGCCGCATATAGACATTAGGTTATGAAATATTTAATGTTCAGTGCCTAGAAAGACTTTGAACACTCATTGAGAATTTACTGTACTGCTACTTTTCATTAGATATTATTCGAATAAAATTCTGCCCAACTCTGCGTGAGAGTAACCATGCTGTCACGGACCCATAGTAATTACAAAAGTTGTTACAAATTGAAACCCCTAAAATATAATCATTATCCTAAATAAAATCTGAAAAATGAACGAAAACGCGCATGGGCAAAAGCCCGTCGAAATCTAGTATCGACCACCGATACCATCGTGAGAAAGGGTCCAGACGGGAATTAATTTACCAGGAAACTAAGGTACAGGGACTTGACGAAGGAACGGTTCAAATGGAATAAACAACGATCCCCCGCCTATTCCTGGGTCAAAAGAACAATTCCGCTTTTCGCAGCAGCGGCGGCGGTCGTTGCCGTCAACGAGATGGAAACCTGAAGAGTTACCCGATGGCGAAGTGTCTTTCATCGGCTATCAACGACCGGTCGTTAGCGGGACCGCGAAGAGGCGGTCATAATTGCGGTAAACGACCATTTTACCGAAGAGACCGTTTTGTAGCGTCATTACTTAACAGTCAACTCCGGCCTCCACCGGTGGTGGTCATTTAGCATCGCGGCGTTCTCGGTACCGCTCGGCGTCGTCTCTTCACCGCCGGCAATTTACCATCATTTGCCAGATTTGTCCGTGTCTTGGTTCGTTATTTCGACGTTTTTTTTTTCTTCCCGCCCCCTTGCCCACCCCCCATGGCCCTGCCTCCTCTCTCTCTCCGTCCGTCTTCTCTTGCCTTTGCGTCATTAACATTCCGGGTGCCATTAATCTCGTGAACGAGACGGCGTGCGCGCGCGCGCCAGCGTGAAATTATATCTGCCCTCACCAGCCGGCATGTGGCGCACACACTGCACTTTCCGCGGTAACGCGTTATTAATTATCGTTAATCGCGATAAACTTAATCGAGTCTAGCCGAGTACACTCGAGAGGCGCAAGGAGACCGAGCGAACCAGCTAGACGAGCTAGAGGCTGGTGTGGTAATCGTAAACGCGAGGGAACGAACCAAGACCAGACGATCGTCGAGAAAGTGGGAGAGGAGAGGCGTGGGTTGGGAGGTAGGTGGTACAGGGTAGGGTAGCAGAACGCGTGCAACACGCTCGACAGCCAGGTACAGGTTCTTAATTTTACGGGCCATTAGCCCCGTAATTACACGGGCGAATTAATTGCGTCGTAAGTAAGTTATTCCACCCGAGGGAGAAGGGGGTGGAAGCGAGCCACCGACGGAATGGAAGGGAACGAGAGAAGGAGGTGAGTGAAGAGCAGGAGGAGGAGATTGGAGGTGAGTGAGGAGGCGGAGGGCAACAGAGAGGCGAAGAGGGAAGGAAGCAGAGGTTGTTGAGATCAACTGCACCAGCAGGAACCGGCAGCGACGATCACCGTGGCACAGCAGCAGCAGCCCTTAGCAGTAGCGCACTCTGGACCAACTTCTGCGACTCATTATGGCTTGCACAACAAATTAACGTGGCGGGTCTCGACCCCTGTGCACCGGCGTCCTTAACGTGGCGCTTGTTAATGAACTCGACAAAGAGAACGAGAAAAAGCACGCGATCTCCCTCGATTCGTCGCCACCGCCTCCGCCTCCTCATTCTACTCCTCGGTCCTTCCCTTGCTTCGGCCTCTTCGTTCCGCCTTGACTCCGACACCCCACCAAGATGTACTCTGTACACGTCGTTTAAGCGAGTTAACAAGCGGCCTTTTGTTAGGGACCCGGCCTTTTTTACTGCCGACGGTACTATTGCTCGAACAGCTCTCCGGGAGAGAGATCTTGTTATGGGGCAGGAGGGTTAAATGATCGGGCCACGGCGTGCCCGAGGTGTAATTCAGTCCGACAAATTTTTATTGACTGGCCGAACGAACACCCTCGGGAATCGATAGGCCTGTATACGGCGCTATTCTCGTGGAAGGTATACTGACGAGCAAATTCAGCTTCCGTTAGGAGGAAAAACGGCGAAGGAAAAGGTCCTACCGATTGGTAAATTTATTTCAAGTACTAAAATAAATATTAAATCGAATGGTAATTTGGCATAAATCTATCCTGTACGCCACTTGTTCCCCTAGCGGAAGCAGAGTTCACCCGCGAGGGTACGTCCTGATGTCTTACGAAGTTCAAAGCAAGATCGAAGGGTTCTAAATGGAAGACGAATCTGAAGTGACCGAGGGAACTGAGTGTCACAAAGGATCACTCTAGTGGCCCCGGCAGGCTACCAAAGCACTTCTAATGACCTCTGAAAACAGGCGATTGTCCCGGAGTGACCACCGAAAACTCCCTAGCGGCTGGGTTCCAACCCCTAAAGAACCAACATCAATCCCTAAAGCCCCCTCAACTAGCGAGGTTTCGAAGACAATTAAAGTTCTTCGAGGCCAGACGTTCTAGTGGCCACAGATGGCTATCGGTGGTTTTCAAGGGCCACGAAAGAACACAGGTCAAGGATGACCGAGACGTTTCATAGAAGGTGACTGAAGACGGTTAAGAGCCTCAGCTAACCAATAGCCTGTTAGTTCAAACGTGACAGAGATACATTTAGTTATAGAAATAAGATCTTCACGCAAGGCCTTCATCCTCGAAGACTGATGCAATAGGACTTCGTTTGTCCAGACGAAACTTTTCTGAATTTTTAACTAAAAAGCTACACTTTTTTTTAAACAACAAATCTACAGAAACAGATTTCAGACAAGGATACGATCAAATAGAGTAGGCGAAAGGTGACAGTCACGACATTGATACACGTGGCATGATGCTATTTCCATGGTCGTTCGCAGAATCTAGGTATCGTTTAACGGGGCGGAACAATGCATTTAGCGTACGCTACACGCAACAATAACGTCCTGGGATGGAGGGTAGGGCAACGAAATCTACATTCCACGGTAACAGGAATTATGAGACAGGACGGTGTCGTGAGGGGCTCGCAAGCCCGCGTGGTTCGTGTCGATAAATCTCCGAGTCTCTCCACGGCAACTTCCTACGACGTGACGGCGGCGGCCACGACCGTGTCGGCTCGTTCGCTTGATTAATCGTGTTTAAACTAGTCGCATCCGCGCCAATTAAGACCGTACAATGCTCGGGCGCAAGAAGAGCAAGAAGGACACGGCCAGGGGCAGAGACACTCCCTTCGAAGCCAGAGAGAAGCCGGTCGTGGAAAAACAAGGAACCATCCCCAAAGGCGAAACCAAGCCAAACGCCGTGCTCGCTGCCAACCGCCGCTACGAGGGACAACAATAAATTAGTATCGGGCACGATGCACACGCCATCGAACAAGACGCTTCGCATTCTCTGGCTGGTTCGCGGCTATTAATACAGCGTGTCGTGGTCTGATCGATCCACGAGGCAAATGGATTGTTCGGTGAAAGTGAAAATTACAATAGGACAATTCTATACCTCTTCTTACAATATTTATGAACGGGTTGTCAAACATCTTGAATGTAATCCTCGTTTCGTAATTAGATCAATGTAGCCATTACATGAAATGTAAGGGATGATCGTATAGGGGCGCTAAACGTGGATCCTAGAAGTCAATTCCTCTTGTTGGATATTTCTGTTCTTTGGGATAGACTCTTTGACTCTAGACCGAGACTACTCCGATTCTCGAGACCGAACATTAAATATTTCATAAACTAATGGTCGTATGCGACCGAAACAAATATCATTCGCTTCCGAATTTCAAGCTCTATCACTGTGCGAAACCTCGTTAAAGAGTCAATATTACACCTGGGGACCTCTTCTTGTCAGGATCGAGAATCCTTCGAACACTAATCAAGGATTCCCTGTCTATTGTCCATCAGAAACTACTCCAAAGTCGCATCTTCTATTGAAACGGTATTAAACAGTGTGTTGCACGCTCACAATCTCGATGTGTATCAGACTGCATAATAAAGTCAGCAAACAGGAATATTGTACTATACGTCAAGTTTATAAAAAGATAATGTATAAGTATACAGTGTCCCCAAGGAGGGTCTAGAAGAGTTACGTGCGGTTCGCAAGCAATTTGGCCACCTTAGCCGTAGTACAAAGTCTAAGCCTAGGGTCAACATTTAGTGCCCTATATACTTTTCTTACTTCGTATTACTGGAACCTCGTTTTATTCGACTCTTTAACGAACAATCCCGTGACACCGTGTTCTCACAACTGTCCCGTGTAAACGAACGGATTGGCCCGACGATCAGAGTCAATTAATTATGTCGCCAGGGAGTTCCCGATAAACTCTTCCCCTCCCCCTTGCCTTGTCTCACCCTGTTTCGCTCGCAGTTCAATTTCGCGAGGGTTAACTGCCCGGGCATTTACCACGAAAACACCCGAGCGATAAATCCCGTCTTGCGTGCGGCGAGAAGCAACGAGGCTCGGATTTCCTCGCGGGACACGCGGATCGGTATAATTAGACTGGTTTACGGCGGTCGGTCGGTCGATCGTCGACGAGCATTCGGGCGTACAAGCCAACGAGGGCAACTTGCCTCTGCATTATCCTTCGGCCGTTGCTCGTCGGGCTGTGTTTATACTTTGCCGTCAGGTGTACGAAGACGCGGTGCGGGATTGTAACCGGGGATATTCTAACCATCGTTTGGTCTAACCCTGGTTCTGAACCCGAGTTAAGCTAAATTCTCGGGTATCCGGTAAAACGACCCGGTTGCTGGCCAACCAAATGCCCTTCGGCGGGTTTTGCGTCGGTGATCTACACAGAAATGTTTCCGATGGAAACTAGCGATCGGCTGCAAGGACTTCTACCGAAACTTAAAATACCGGTATTTTCGGTTGTACCTTTGTCCTATATAAACCTATATAAGCCCTACCCTTATAGACATCGAAAAAATACGTACCGGTATTTTTTCGATTTCTATAATATATTCGGTATTATTTTCTTTTTTTAGTGAGATGACCACAAATTTAAATCCAATACCTATGTCTTCCTGTTTGATTGATAAGAAGGACTCATGATGCCCTTCTGGTATCCTGGATCCGCCACCAGAATGATTATACTCAAACAACTGGTCTCAATGGAGGAAGAAGAGGAAACGGTCATATCTACATTCCCAGGAACTAGACAATCCTTTCCCTAATTTATGTAACGAACAACAAGTACCGCTGCCTTTGTTGTCTACGTCAAGCAGAATATTGGCCCCTCAGTTGGCGTGGTATCGACCTGAATACCGCGTGTAACCACCTCGGATCAGAGTGTATCAGCCCGATGTTTCTGAAATAGCTACCAAGGTAGCAGTCCACATTTTCGAGCATAAATGGCAAGCGATCCTGGCTGGCCAATTCCCTCGATCCCCCCCCCCGAGATCGCAACTCCCAAGAACCGAATCTGGTTCGGGTTACATCCCTGTGGCTAACGGGCGCACAAAGCGGGTGGAATCGATGAGAACCGCTGAGCTCTTAGAGCCATTAGCTATGCACAGTAGGTGCGCAAGATAAATATACGGATACACGTGCGCACCGGTTGCGGTCTGGCTGTGTATATACGTGAGGGCGAATATAGGTGCGCGAGTGCACGGAGTAACAGGCCAATGTAAAGTCGGTGCGGCGAGGATGCAATTAATGCTAAGAAGCCGAGGTGGTTTAGCGGTCGAGCGAGCATGATTATCCTGGATAGGGAAAACGAGGGTCCCAGAGTTCTCGTGGGAAAGAGAAAGACAGTTAGAGAGAAGGTTACACGGTGGATAGAGACAGGTAGACAGGGACTTAACCGGAATTAGTGTTACGGAATGGTGATTCCTTACCATCACGTAATGTCGTTGAATCTCGATCTTCTCCGTGGCCAGTTTCTCGCACTCGAGTTTCAAGCTGCGAACAGAATGAAAGAAAAGAAAAACGTTGGAACGGATTAAATGATTTTCTGCTTGATAGGTATACACGTATGTATGTATGTGTGATACACACGGATAGATCGTTATAGGTAATACACCTATTTTCTTACCGGTCGCGGGCCGTTAGGTCGCAGGGGTGGTACAGTTCGACGACGCGTTAAATACGAGATACGTTAACGTCGACCTTTACGTTCACCACGTTCGCATAATGTTAATATTAATTATCGCCCCGGCTGTGCATATATAACCTGGACGCGTACACGCAATACCATTTATACCGGTATTCTAACCGCTCCGCAATCAAGCTGTTTCAATTGTATGCACTTTATTCGGTCGGCACGGTGGGACTGGACGGATGGGGGTCTGATATGTAGCGATGGGAACGATTCCATCGCACGTGCGAATATTTCGCACCCGATACCTGCCCAGTAGACGATTTGAAACCGGGGACTTAAACCGGTATGATTTTGATACCGGTATTATGCCATCGAAGCTATACCGAAATCGATATATTACCGAAAACCGAAATAAATACCGGCAATTTTTCGATTTCTATAAGTCCACTTTACCTCAAACATTTCGAAAAATCCAAGAGTACATTCGAAACAGTACCATACAGATCGTACAGAAGCTACTGTGCATAGAAAACCACCGATAAACTATGCACCCTTGCGGATTGATCGAAAGAAGGCAGCACATTTCGTATGCAACAGCGCCTATTAATATGAAAAATGTCAGGCCAGCCCCCTATCGGTCCCATCGCTACTCAAACGCGTCGCCCGAGCGTTTCTATCGTCTGGTCTTTTAAATCGTCGACCAAGGGAGAACCGTGCATGTACTACGCTCCCGCGTCTGACGAACTTCAAAGGGGGATAAAACGGAAGATGGTTGACGGCGGGTGGGTGGACGTAAAAGGAAAAAGCTCGAAGCTTCCGGTAGGGTTTAAGTCTCCGCGCGTACGAACAATGAAAGTTTCGATCCGCGGAACACGTTGAAAAATGCAGCCGTCGGTGTACTTCCTTAATTTCGTATTCGCGTCGGCTACGGTTGCACGGGGGTGTCATTACGCGTCTGCCAATAGCCACGATTGTCGTAAATCACTTATGGCTTTTGTAGAGCGCGTGCAACCCAGAAAGCAGCTGCAACCGTTCCCAGGCTATTCCGATTCGCGACGTGCATCTCGCTGGTTACGTATGCGACCCCGAGACAAAAGAAGGGACGACGAAGGAAGGGGTGAAACGCGGACAGGTGCCACGCTCAATCGTCGCGATTCACGGTGACGCGGCCTTTTTTTCTTTTTCTTTCGGAGAGGACGAAGTTAACCCCCTGCAGCAACACGATTTTATTTAATGCTGCAACAACCAAACCCGTCGAAATGGGATTTCAAATTTGAAATTTACTTCTAAATTATTATAGTAGTATGCAATCGTTCAATCTTATTAAATGCAATACGAAATATTTTGTTTATTATCTTCCTAACCTTGCGGAGAAATATTCAACATTGTTATATTCTGCATCATTCATCTGGAAAATTATGTCTACTCCGTTTCTTTAACAGAATTTTCCTCGCAGTCCCCACTGACAAGAAAAACAGTAATGTACCTATTCGAACGACGGGGTTCTACAGGTATATTTAATTTCTCGATAAATTTTCTATAATTTGTAGATTCAAATACAAGCTGATCTATACTTACGCATGACATTGGTTCTGTAGAAAGTTGAATTCCTCCTTAATTCTGTCACAGGATTCCCCGACAGTGAATTTAATTTGTTGTCCGGGCTGTGGTGGACCCTGCAACAAATATTCAGAATATATTCATATGATTTTGACACAATAAACAATTATGTTTTAGGATCAAAAAACGTGCCCAGTCGACTAGTTCATAGACAAATATGCATTGTATTTCTAAGTATTCTTTCATTATACTGGCGAAGTATACAATACTTCTCTTATAGTATACAACAAGTATTCATCGAACCAAATTACAGCTTACTTCCGGAAAGTCAGTGGGTGTAACAACTTAGACTAACTATGCAACGCATAATATCACGTTGTAACGCAGGAGCGTATAAAACACCGACAAACTTCGCAGTCTAAACGTTGTTCTATTTATCAGAGGAAGGGGGGCGTAGTACGGAAACCGCCAACGGAAAATAATACATCATTATCGTTTTACTCGGTACTCGAAAGTATTGTTTCCAATACTTAACGAGGCAAGTACCTGTAAAAATCGATGTTACGGAACTTATGTTCAAGAAACATGGGCTTTAATCCATATTTATACCCCCCATTTTTAGGGAAGAAAAATTTAATTTTTCCTTGGCAATACAGGTAATATTTTGAAAACAGATTGTAAAACCTTTATTCTATCATAAAAACATTGCCTTAAGTTCATAATTTTCCTTGGCAGAACCAAAATCAAGTATACCTGTCGAAGAAATCGTTTACCTCACGCGCAACAGCCAGACACAATAAATTTCCAAGGCGCATCGATCATTTTTCAGCTTCCAACATCCATCCTCCTTTCAACAATCAAGAAGTAACAACCGTCAAATTACAGCCAAGCTGAATAAAACGATCTTCCGGTTTCGAAACAGCCTGACCACGCCTCGAGCGAGTTTATTCCTCCTCGTGCCTGCTCGTTGGAAACAAGAAACGAACAAGCTCGAGAGGAGACTACGTGTCAAATTCCGCCGCGGCGTATAATTAATCTCGCGCAGCTGTTCCAACCCGCGAAGAAGCGGAATGGATGCAGGAAGTAGCGCGTTAGTCGATTCGCGACTCGACGACGAGAGAGAAGGAGGTGGAGGTGGAGGTGGAACACAACGGAGGCGTTTGCACGAGCTAGCGCGCGAGCAAACCGGTAAACACAGTGAAAGGGGACATTTAAACCGCCATCGGCAATCGTGCACGCGTGGATGAGCATACAATGTAACGGGGAACATAACGCGATAACAAGATTGCTGCTGGCAGCTGGATTCTATCTCCGACAGGGACTCGAGGATTCCGAGCGAATCGTCTGGTAACGGAGGAAATTCTGCGGCTTTCATGGGATCGAATGATTTAGGGATGTTCGATTCGCTTGAAAGAATTCACTGTCGAATCTAATCGTGAGGATAGATTCTCTGAAAAAATCGATACCAAAGAATCGATCTGAAAATCGTAAAAAATGAATCGTTAAACTCTATTCAATAGGGAAAGGAATTAGAGGTGAAGTTAATGTAAATGTGAAGATTTTAAATCTGTTGGAGATTCTTGTAACGAATACATTTTCACGGTGACATTACTTATGATAATATGTCGTTCCTGTTAAAAGATAAATGTGGTGCCTTTGGAACACCCAGACAGGCGACCACTCCTACACTTAAAACGAATTTTTTCAGAATATGCTTGCCTTCTTATAAATTAACTAATATACAAACAACTATATACATTTAATTCCCTGAGCTCGAATGTTCCGTGAAGTTTCCAAAATCCCCAGTTCCGAATGTGGACCATCGTCGGAGGGTTAATTGGGCTTAAAGCATTCCGAGTATCGACACAAGCCAGTCAGCCGAAAACCTTGACTTCGAGGGCGTCTTCTGCTCGACCGTGTCAAAGCCCTTATTTTCACGTGGCTGTCTTTTTGACGTCGATCGATTTCCACGGGAGCAATCTCGACAGAGATACACAGAGCCCGGGGTGAACGTGGTCCCGGTTGTGTAGGGAGCGTATCCGACACGATCTACAGGTCGGTCGAAGGACGAGAGAGGCTTGCGTAGGCAGGGCTGCGAACGTAGTTAACAGTGCCACCCTCGCCCTCCCGTCGTTCTCACACACACACAAACACAGACGCGACAGCACTGCACACCAACACACAGCTAAAACCCACGTGCGATCTCGTGCACTGGCACACACGTATCTGTGCGCGCACCCGCTCGCAAGTTCATAGTTTCGGTTGTAGCGTGTAATCCTCGCGGACACCGCAAACATGTAATTAACACTTGCTCTCTCTCTACCAAGCCGTTCCACCAGTCAGTCGAGAATCGTGTTGACTGTACACGGGACGCGCCCCGTGTAATCGTGTGTGCACGTGCGCGCGCGCGAACGACGAGCGATGCACGTATACAGGGTGTCTCAGCTGACTTGATCATCTCAAATAATGGTACACTTTATGAAAATTTTAGGCGTGGAACATAAATGGCATGAAGGTGCACATTTATAAGGTACGTGCTTTTTTGTGGGCGGAGGTTTTTCTGAGATTTCAAGGTCACCTTGATTTTTTTTAACGGAATGACCTACTTTTTGTACCATGGAGTATCGAATTCTGAGTGGAAATGTGTTGATCTTTATACGTTCTAAACGTAATACTTAACGAGATATTTACAAAATAATCACTGTATTGAAGTTGAGGGGCATCAGTTCAAGCGCATATAGCTTCCAAAGAGTAGGTGTCAGTTTATGGAATATGAATTTATGTCAGAGATTTGGTTATTTAATTAATGACCTTGTTGGGGTGCAGAAGAGAGTAATCTTCATACTAAGCATTACGAAAACTACTTACTGTCTTTTGGCACACTCGCATTCACGATAAATACGTTAAATCCGCAGTTTAATTATTACCGCTACTGATACGTAACTCAAGAAACCTCTTAGGATCCAGTAATTTATTTGAGATGCACGATTCCCTTTTATACACAAACGAGGTTCGAAAAACCCACTGCATTACAGCGGATTCCAGTTGAATTAAACCATATAACAAACCATTAAGTACACAGATGTGTATTATAAACAGGTAATTCGTGCCTCGATTGCATTTACTACGCGTTGCACAACCGATCCCATCGGGTTACACTAAAAAACTCAAAAGACAAGAAACAAGTTTTCTGGTTAACACCTGTGTCTGTAAGCCACAGAATACGTTTCCACGTAATGATCTTCAAGCTGCTGGATGACTCACGACCCAATAAATCCGAATTAAAATTCCCCTTCGAAACCAGCAATCCAACGCCACTCGACCAAACGGGGACCATTTCCAGTCCCTCCCTACTTTCCAGCGACCGATTCCCAGCCGTCTAGCAAGCATCAGAATTCTCGATCCTACCCGCGGACCCCGCTTAACAAACATAAATCAGATTTCTCCAAGCAGATACCTCTTCCGTTCGCGGGAAGCCAGGGGGAAACGAGCGCGCGCGCGCGCTTGCTTAATCGCGTCAATTATTCCGCGAAGCCTCGACACCGGCTCATAAATCTCTCGGACCGGGAACGTTCGAAACCGAGCAGATCGGCTCGGCGCGCGTCGGCTCGATAATCTGCGAAACTCGGTTGATTACTTCTCTCCGACGAGAAAGAGGAAGGGGCGAGAGGAAGGTTGGGGGGGGGAGCACAAAAAGGTTTGCTGATTAATCAGCCGCTACGACGGAGTTCCTCGAGCTCGAGCATCGTGTGTATCCCTGAGTGAGGAGAGTCATCGATGAACAAGGAACAAAAAAAAAACAAAATGGAGAAGGCTAGCGCTGAGTTATCTCGGGTTAAGTTGGGTGAACAGTACACCACCGTGCTACCTCCTGACCTCGATCACAATCGAGCCGTTGTAATCGAATGAACCGAGGAGAGTCCCTTCTTCTTCAGGCGGAGAATCGATCGCAGATTCTACGTCCAATCCCTTCACGTGGATCTTTTCAGTGTTTCCCTTCCGATTTGCGTTTTTTTTTTTATCCCAGTCAGAGGCTGGATCGTATGGTTCTAATATTGTGGAATCCAAGAGTGTCGATCGTGGCGCTCCCAGCGTGACAGAAACGGTAACAGGGGACATACCAAACGATTTGTTTGGATTTGTTAGAAAGAATATTTTTTGGCGTAGGTAGAGTGTTCAAATGGTGCTGCTACCTTAAGGAAAATCCTTAAGAAGTATCCCCTTAACGACAAGAATAAATCTTTTCGATTCCTGTCTCTTTGTAAATTCAGCCCATGAAGGTGCCAAGTCGCACAAACATCCGCAGTCCATTCGTAAGTCTTCAAGGAAGACGCAGGGGGATAACAGAACAGGAAATCAAAGGAAACGATGACGCGTGAAACGAGCAGCGAATAAATTCAATCGAACCCGGGGTCCTCGAGCAGACGCTAGGTAACGTCTAATTTACTCGACAGATTTCGGGCAGGAACCGAGGGGAAGGCTCGCGGAATTTCTAATTTCGTTGCGGCCGAGGCGGCGTCGGTGCGAACGCGGAATGAGAGGAACGCAAGCCCGCGGACCATCATCCGAAAGGCGAAAATCGGGGCGCAAAGAGAGAGAGTGGGTGGCGTGCTCGCGCGCGCGCGTAACGCAAGCGGCACTTTGCGGCTGTTAGAGCGTTTCGGCTAATGCGCTAAAATGCACTTCGTTACGCCGTGCACCGCAATGCAAACCAGCCGGCTGGCGCGGCACCACCACCACCACCACCACCACCGGTGCATTCACTTCGCTGCGGTGGAAATAACGTATAGCCACCCACACCGACGCATACACAGTGACAACCGGGGGATTTTCGCGATTCGACCACGGCAAATTTGTCGTCCGACAATCGGACACCGCGATAAGTTTACAAACAGGCCGGCCACCTGCGATCGATCCGATCGAGGACGATTTTCGGCGTTATTGTTTCAGTCATCCTCTTGGGGACTGATTCTGTAGCTTCTATACTGGGTGAACCACGGAATCGTGATCAGTAGAGATTAATCTGTTGAAATTATTTTTCATAGGATCGTAATTAATGATCTCGGAACTGAATAAATAAAATATTTTCACATAAATACAATACCGACACAACCGA